ACCTTTATTTTTTAGAGTGCACATGCTTCAACCCCTCCATTAGAAAATGTTCTTTATGTTATCTTAGTTTCTGGACTAATTATGGAGCATGAAATCTTTCATAAACACAGTTAACTGATCACTGCATGTGTGAAGATGAACTGCTGAAGAGACTAATGGAGGAGTTGTAAGCAGTTCTAAGCTGTTCAGACATACAGGATTAAGTGTTAAGTTTAGCTTTGTCCTTTCAGAAACACGCTGTAAAAGTGTAGCCAGTCTTTTTACTGTTACATTCCAGTCCACTACTGTATATATTACACCATATTCCATGTAAGTCAGAAACACAAAAGGACAAATCTGGTTTATATTCAAAGCGTGCTGAACAATCTGATATAGCTGAATTTGGTCTGAATCAAATGAGCCACAATCCCCAAATCAGTTCATAGAGCATTAAGATAATGGCAACCTCTACAACTCTCGTTTTTTGATATTCGTTCAGATAACTTCTTCATCCATGCTGTTCTTTCTCGCCGAAAAAGACTGTGGTCTAATTGAATAACTCTGAAGTAATTAAGGACAAAACTACAAATGAGATTGGAGTCACGCCAGGATCCATCAAGCCCTAAACATGTCTTTCCTTCAAAGCTAATGGAATTAACTGTAAAAACTAGGCAACAGCTAATGGAGCATGCAATCGTTTTACGTGGATCGATTACATTTCAATTCAGGTCTCATTTATGTATGTGAATGGTAAATTAAAACGTAATGTACCTTCTGAATGAAAATGGAATTGCTCTGATCTTGCCACACACCGTCAAACCCAGCGCAAGGACTCAAGTTACTCGAGTTTAAACAATCAGTACAGCCTGCCCTGAGGAAATATCAGCAGTAGACAAGACAACATGTCTTCAATTTGTTTTTAGAAATTTAGGGCACCCTGCCAATGTTGGAACCCTAGTAAGCGATTAAACTGTGTCTAAGCTTGCTAATTGGATACAGAAGGTGATCGCCCGCTTTGACAAGGCAGTACCAGTGCTGTCAATGCTAATAAAATTCTTATTTTTTTGTTCTGGGAAATTGCAAACAGTGAATAAAATATGTAAATTAAATTAACTTGAAGGAATACTTCACCCAAACATGACGATTTGCTTAGAATTTTTCTCACCCTCAGGCCATCCAAGACGTAGATGAGCTTATTTGTTTATTGGAACAGATTTGGAGAAATTGTATATTTTTACATCACTTGCTCACCAGTGGGTCCTCTGCAGTGAACGGGTGCCGTCAGAATGAGAATGGAGAAAGCAATACTATGGATAGAGGACTCATATTTTAGCCAGAAGCAACGGTTTGAAGTTAAAAGTGTCTTAATGATGGATTTGTTTCTTACAAACACAGCTTTTGGCTTCACAAGACTTTAACTGATGGACTGGAGTGGTGTGGATTACTTGTGGATTATTGTGATGTTTTTATTGGACTCTCATTCTGACGGCACCCATTCACTGCAGAGGATCCATTGCTGAGCAAGTGATGAAATGCTACATTTCTCTGAATCTGAAGAAACAAACTCATCTACATCTTGGATGACCTGAGGGTGAGTAAATTTTCAGCAAATTTAAATTTTTGAGTCAACTATTCCTTTAAACTAGATGTCACCTAGCATGTAAAAGTTTTGCCCCCTCTGAAAATGCTAATGCAAATAAGACAAGGGGTTCAGTGACTCTACTTCTGTCCATTTATACTGGAGTGGAGTACTTTAGTGTCTGTATTTGTGTGTACAAATGAGTTGAGGCAGTATTACAGAAATGCAAATGGATGTGTTTGTGTGTGTGTGTGTGTGTGTGTGTGTGTGTGTTGTTGTTGTTACATTTCCAATGTCAACTAATCATGATCAGCATTTGGGAGTGTTGGCTTTTTCACACCAACAGCAGAAATGTCGATGCAGTGCATCTGTATTGTGGATAAACGGTATTTATTGCAAAATGCTTTTCATTTATATTTAGATATTTCAGGAGGGAGACTTATGACTTATTTATTACTTTACACTTGTGCCAAATGGAATTTCTAAAGTCGGCTGAATAAACATACCCAGCTTACAACAAAACATAAAAAAGTTGCTTATTTGTCTTGAGTTTCTAAATTCACTTTCCTGTTTATTCTCAACTACAAGATGTGTAGACGGCAGATTTACAATGCCGCAACTTCAGGGCACAAACAGAAGAATTCAATATGGTGGGAGAGATCTTGTTTACAGCGCTTTGATGTTTAAGCGATTGGGGTGATGTAAGGATGGTAAAAAAACAATAAAAATTTAAGCAATACCATAAATAAGTGGACGACTCGTTAACGTCAAAGCGAAAACAGATTCTCAGAATGTAAAATCCAAAATAAGTCATTTCATAAGCATTCACCCCATTTAATATGACCTATACCATCACTGCTGCGGCCAATTGGGTTTAGAGATCACATAAATACTTAAATTGAGATCACTTGTGTTGTCAAGGGGCTTGATTCTAGTATAAATGCACCTCAATCTGGAATGTCAGTACTCTGGCAGAACCGCCATCAAGAAAAAAAGATCAATCCAAGCAGTTAATTGAAAAGCACAAGGAAGGAAACATATACCAGAAGAGTTCCAAGTCACAGAGTATCCCATGACTCCCAGAAACTCAAGAAGCTGTAAATCTAAGGGAGGCCACCAAGAGACTAAAGACAACTAGACTACCCCAACCAGACAAAGGGGCTGTAATACAGAAACCAATACCGTCTTAACTTTTCAGATCTTAACTTGTTCCAACACAAATTGCCTTACTAAACAGAAAAGTGTTTGTAATATGGCCCCAGATCCCAATCTGATTGGTAATTTACAGGCAAACTTTAAAAAGGCTGTTCACACACAACCTTCATGTAAGCTTGACCAAGCTTGAGCAGTTTTTAAACAGAACAAATGAAGGGGAAAAAACCCTGTAGCAGCCAGATGTGCGATGTGTGTTGACATGAAAGAATATTTTACTGTTGATCAGTGTCAAAAAAGGTTGTAAAACATGAAAGCTTCCAAGAGGGGGTGTGAATACGTCTTACTGGCATAGTACGTTTGTAAAATCATGTTAATTAACACATTATTTGGATTTTACCATCCCATAATTAACTGAAATGTTTTGAACAAATGTTCAAAAGCACGAGCACATACAAAAAATCTTTACAGAAATGAAACTGGTGATTTAAGCTTGTGCAGAGAAAATCGTGATAAGCACGATAAATACAACCACAAATACAACTGTTGCTATTGGCTGTAAACATTTAGCCCATTGTAGGGCGACCGTCAGATCTGGATCACTTCATTGCAGTGTCACCGGTGCATATCACTGTTGTGCACATGAATCCAATGACTCTGCACAACCTCTAATGCTCTGTGAGAAGTCCTGTTTATGTTTAAAACCACTGACACGCAGTAAACAATAAAGCATAAACTATTCCTCTGTTGGTCCAAGATTTTAATCTTCCTCTAAGTGGTGCAAATTGACAAAACCGAGGTGTTTGTCTCGGTTACTTTCCACTCCAAAACAGACGAACGCAATTAGAAGCATTTCAGCTGCTTCTCCTGTAAACGTGAGCATCTTAATAGAAAAACAATATCAACATTTCCAGTTATTTACAACATGAATGCCTTTGGGTGAATCTCATGAAATCTGTTAATAGGCCATCTTTCAGAATAACACAATCAAAAACTACTAATGTGAACCAAATGAGAATTATCATTGAGAATAAAGGGAATTAATGAATGGGAATTGGAATTACAGTAATAATTTGTGGGTGAAAGGTGATATCTATATATTTCCACGAGAATCTCCCTTTAGCCTACTGGGTTTGACAGGCTTCTAGAATACTCTAAAAAAAAAAAACGACCTCGATCTACAAACTACTTCAGACATGAAGAAGGTTTGTTTATAGACAATCTCTTTACCTGTACTGAAGTGTCGTAGTTTACCGTGGTAAATACAGAGGAATAAATCAGAAAATGTCTGATTTAAAACAGTAGGCCGTATTTTGAAGTTCATGAGAAACGCGTTTCAGCGTCACGTGATCACGCATTCCCGCCTTAAACGAAATGACCTAGTTTTCGCCTAAAATGGTTATTATACCGTTACTGTTACTACAGTAAAACTCATTCAGACAGACTTTATACAAATTTATAGAAACATTCTGAAAATGTATTACACTTTGAATGTTATTCTAGATCGTTTTAAAATATAAAAAAACAGCAGAAATAATAATTGTAGTTGACTAACTCGTCAATCTCGGTATTTGGCAGAAACTATGGCTACTTAGGTAAAACACAGATATAGATACATTTAAAAATGTGACGATTATTGATTAATGCAGATGCTGAACGCAGAAGGTGATGATTGACACGCCTTACAGCCAATCAAAAAGAGAGTTGAGTTTGGAGGGGCGGAGAAACACGCAGGGACACCTGAGAAACTCACGAGACTGCGCTTTTCACAAGAGACCACCGCAAAAGACAGGTAGGCTATGATATTTCATATTTGTTTAAATTTCATCTATATTCGTATTAAACCCCTTTTTTATTTCTACAAATCAAAAAGCAGAAATGACAATAAGGACAAGGCTAAAAAAAAGTCGTATATTGCTGTTTTTGTCTTTAATATTTGTTAATTTATTTGTTTGTTTATTTTTTAATAACGGATACTTAGGCTAAGTCTGATAAATATGGTAACAATATAGCAGAAGTTAGTTATCTGGAACTTTTCATTTCGACTTTTCTCAACATAAAATGTCTATATCGTCTGTAGATAAACAGGGGGTGGTGTACCGTGTTTCATGTGTACAGCTGCCGTGGTTACACTCTTTGAGTCTATGTTTCCAAGCCAACAGAAAACGCTACATAAAAGCACCTCCTCGTTTGCCCACGTGACGTCTTGAGGACCACCTCAGTGCATAACCTCTTGCCTCTTTACCAACCTGAAGCTGAAGTGCATCCACAGAGACTCTGCTGAGGTGCTATGGCCGCAGACGCAGTGCAGGAGCTCAGGCAGCAGTGCCTTCAGAGAGGCGCCGCGGGGATCAAGGGTCTTGGAAGGCAAGAGAAATATTCTACTCTCTTTAAAACAATCTACAGGTCTTTATCTGTGAATCTATGATTTCAAAGAAAGACTGGAGTGATGTGGTGTAACATCAGTAAAGCTGTCGTTTGGATTCCTGCTTGAAGCTGATGATGAATTATCACCACTGTGCCCTTGAGCAAGATATTGAGCTCACAGGTTACACCAGAGGGACTGAACCAGTGATGGGGTGAATCTCAGGAAAACCAAGACATATTTCACCCCAAAATCAAAAGAAAAAAAAAAAAGAAATTATATTGTACATAAAGACATTTTTCATGAAAATGAAGCACATTACTCATAAAATTCGTATACTGTTATGCATTCAGATGCTTTACTTTTATTCTCAATTGTGATACTCAATAGATTGTCATTATTGTAATATTTTGTTACAGTAAAAAAAAAAATGCTGTTACAATGATTTTTATTTAAATCAACAAATTACAATAAAAATGCACAAAAACTATTTACATATACAATTTACATAAAATATTTTATCATGACAGTAGTGAGAATCTGAAAAATAATATGAAAATTTATGAAAATGTCTTAATGCAAAAATCTGAATGTAGCACAATAAATCTTAAAATAGCCTTTTTAAAGAAAAAATTTAATTTCTAATTTATAACACTGTAAAAAAAAAATTATATGATCAGTAAGTTTTTTCTTTTAACTCATGATTTCAGCTTTATTTTTTTAAGTTATAAGAGATTCAGCTGGTCAAGATTTAAAAAAAAAAGTTGAAATGACATGCAACCAGTTTGATTAGGCGTACAAATGGAAGGCAGCAACTGATCTTAAGTTTTTAGGCTAAATTAGGTGGAAATGTTCATATGCTTAATTAGGGATTTTAGGAATCAATAATTTAAATATTTGTCTTTCTATTTTATTCTTTTACAAAGGTAGAGGATTTGGGAGAAATAATGAAAATATGTTTACGTTCAACAGTTTAACCTAGACCATAAATTCCCTATATTTTTTCCAGGACGTTTCGCATTATGGACGATGATGGCAGTAAATCTCTGGACTTCCAGGAGTTCGAGAAGGGGCTGGAGAACTACGGCGTGTCTGTGGGGAAGGACAAAGCACAGCAGAGCTTTGCCGTGATGGACAAGGATGGAACTATCAACTTTGATGAGTTTCTTGAGAAATTAAGGGTAAGAACGTGTTTCGAGGATGCAGAAAATTTCTCAAAAACACCTTCATCATTCTAATTTCAGTGAAACCCGCTTGTTCTGTTTCTTTGCTTCAGCCGTCCATGTCGAGCGCACGGAAACAGGTGATCAATCAGGCTTTTCGGAAGTTTGATAAGACAGGAGACGGCGTTGTGACCATAGAAGATCTACAGGGTGTTTACAACAGCAAACACCACCCCAAATACAAGAGCGGAGAGTGGACAGAAGAACAAGCCTTCCGCTCTTTCCTGGAAAACTTCGACTCAGGGCCGTTTCTAGCCAATTTGACGCCCTAGGCGAAATCCCTATTCCCTTTTAAAAAAGTGTTACCTTGCCAAAGCACTGACAGAGCCCACTGATCTAATGGCGTTGTTGAGCGCTCCAAATGCAAACTTTGCATGCAACAATCAGGCAGCAATTGACAGCACTCTGATCTAGTGGCATACAGGCATCGTCAGATTGACAGTACTCTAGCCCAATAATGTTGGGGGATCCAGTGGGGGCGGCAGTCATATTTCAGGGTGACCGTGCCACTCTTTATCACAACCCTTCTAAAAGTGCCAGTACGTGCGCTCATTGGCGCCCCTTCAGCTGGTGGCGCCCTAGGCGACCGCCTAGCTCGCCTATGCCTAGAAACGGCCCTGCTTCGACTCTCCGTATGACAAAGATGGAAAGGTACCTCCAATTTTTGGGATGTGAAATGCATTTCCAGTCTAATAAAGGTCTGCAGTAGATATTACTGTAATCATCAATATTTTTTATTATTTCAGTCCTTATACACAATTCCGTAATAATACATAATTTTAGACATTGAACGAAAAAGGTGTAGGCTGAAGCCTCAGCTTATTTTACCCACTCTTTTTTTCATAGTAAGTGTCACTTTCACTAATAAACTTAATCTATACAAAAGACAGAAAAACCCAAACCATTTATACATAACTGAAAATTACACCTTTTATAAATTAATACAATTGTTTCATATATTTCATATACAAATTATTTTGTTATATATTTGTTTATCTTATTTTTTTTTATTTTATTTTTTGCAAAGTGAACTATATATTTTCATGTCCTTGTTACAATTATTCCTTAATTTCACCTTTTGACAGACAATCAATAGTATAACTATTGTACTATGATTGTGCAAGGAAATAATGTTTTTAAGATTTTGTTTTTTCCTCATAATATCAGTCAAGTTTTCTAGCAGCAAAATCAGATATAATGAAATTTTATGACCATTTTGACCCTCTTTCTATGACCTTTACAATCAAACAGGTTGTTTTGCTGCTTAACATTTAAGTCTTTAATGTAAATGAACTCTTTGTATGTGGAATGAGCGATGATGCTTCCATTACCTAATGCAGTAATGTCCAGTTAAAGGCACAATATGTCTTTTTTTTTTGCCACTAGAGGGCACGTATTCAAAACAAACAAAGAAACAAAGGTGTAGTTTGATGGCGCCGTGACTGAGTGTGGAATCATGGGAGTTAATGTATTAAAGATTTATTAACGTCGTAGTATGAAGCAGAGTGAGACGGAAAGCCGTCGAAGCGAAACGAGGCCGCTGAACGAGCGCGACACACGGCTCGAAAGAAGCGGAGGGTTTATTATGCCACAGTCGACCGCTTCCGCTGCTTCCGGTCGTGCATATGTGGGGTAAAGCAGCGCTGTTTTATCATACTAGATACATTTAGTTCTGTTATAATGCTACTTTGTGCGGTCGTCACCGGTCTATTAAAACGCACAACATATTAAAGCGTCTTTGATGTTGCCATGTTTTGTACAAAACCGGAAATTGAGGGGTTATGACGTCATTGTCAGGCGACACAATGACACTATAGACACGGTCTGTGTCACTAGTTAAAATTGCTTATTTCTCTGGATTTAAACGTTCTTCGAAACATTTTGGATAATGTACACAAGTCAGCAAAATATATAACACTGTTCTAGTGGTTTTTAGATATTTTAATTAAAAAATCTTACATATTGTGCCTTTAAGGCCTGTTCACACCGATTTTAAAAGTTTTAAAAGTCCTTCTAATTCTATGAGAATATGAAAGTTCACATCACAGCTATAACAATAAAAACAAATAGGAACGATATCGTTGGAATCACATTCAGAACGATTTTTGTCCAGCCGATGAACGATAAAAAAATTGACAGCCAATCAGAATTCATCCTGCTTTAATGAGCGCGAGCATTTAAAGCGGCAGATGACAAAACTGCAGTGTGCGCTATTAATAAACACGTTACCATGCATCAGTGTGGACATGAATATAGTTATCGTTCTTGGTGTCAGGCTCGTAGGCAAGTTAGGCGGTCGCCTAGACTAGAGCACCACCAGCATCTGGGGACGCCAAAAGGGATTTCTCCTATGGTTAAAAACGGCCCTGCTTGGTGTGAACGGGCCTTTAGTCCTTGCTTGCAACTACAGCAAAATAGGGGGAAAAACTTAATTGATGCCAGTCAGAATGTCGAAATGAGACGGGTTTGCACGTTTATAACGCACTAATCTATAATTTCTTCCCGTGCCAGGTGACGCTGGAGGAGTTTTTTTGGGGGTTTTTTGTGTCTTTTCCTTTTTTGTCGTCTTCTTAATTTGTTTATTTGCAGTCCAAGAGGAGAAAAAAAACAACAACTAAAAACAAATGAAATGATAAAAAACAAAAAAACTCCAGATTTACAATAAATGTTGGAGGGGAAAATGAACTACAGAAGTTTGGGTGAGAGAGACTCCGCTCCAGAGGTCCAGGGATCCGGTCCGAAGGGGCCGTGCCTGTCTGGGCTGTTCGCAGAGAAACCCCGGTGGGCGGCTGTGGGTCGGGCAGAGGGTCAGGATGCTATGTGCTCTCGGCGGCTGGGGTCTCGCTGTTCTCACAGTTACCTGCACGAAAACAAGTCAACGTTAACTCTGAAAATATGCAATAAAACATCAGGTCGATCAATGCAATCACAGCATGAAATGCATGATATATTGTTAACTTATCAGTTAGCAGTCCATATTAGGTATTTTTTAATTACTCAATATTTAGGATATTAATAATCGTCAAATTCACAGGTCTCATTTGATAACGTTACATAAAATCTAAATTACCTGGTTTTATTCAAGTCAAAAATATTGAACATCACTGAAACAACCTAAATACATTCATTTATACCAACAAAACTCATTTTTATAGGTTAAATCAGGTAGAAATAGCTCAAGGTAAAAATGGCTCCCACTTTTCAGTTAAGTCATGCAATGGCTCAAATGATCTTACGAGTAATATTTTTTTTTTGCAGAATTTATTAATCTTTGTTAATAAAAGTCCAATTGTTCATTAATTCAGTGCACGTTGATTTTTAAAATTGTATTAGAAAATGTTGAAAATTGCATTAAAGGTAGGGTAGGTGATTTCGGAGAGGCTAGCAACAGCAAGCAAGCTTTGAAAGCATAAGATCCCGCCCTCCCTGCATAATCACTCTGCAAAGCCACGCCTCCTCCTAAACACAATGTGCTACAATAACAACACCTTCCATTCTCGCCCTGATGACGTGTATCATGTCTGCGTGAACAGGATGCACGGAAGAGTGCAAATACATACGTTGACAGGCAGGCAGGACAGCCTATTGTAATCCTCGGACCGGATCTGTAATTTCTTCCCATGCCAGGTGACGCTGGAGGAGTTCCTGAACTATTACAGTGGAGTCAGTGCTTCTGTCGACAGCGACGAGTATTTCATCACCATGATGAAGAACGCATGGAAGCTGTAGTCATCATCATCATCTCACGTGCATGCACTCGTCTGACGCGCGCAGAAATCAGTTTCGACGCATCCAATTTGTCATTAGATATAACACTGAGATGGTGCAGATTGTGCAATATTTACTCATAGAAATTCCGTGTCTAATTAAAAGTGTTTGATTTCTACATCTTGCTTTAATGTTGCACACACTGCTTGTTCCCAGAAGACGAAATGAAAGCATGTGTATCTTGACCGGAACGCCAGTAAACGGCGTGACAGCTGTCAAAACCCGGGCTTGTAAGACCTCAGCTTCAAAAGAGCTTTATTGAGCTCTCTGACAAACACTCTTCAATCACTTGATAAATCGCCCCAGCTGTTTAAGCTGTAAACTGGTGCATCGATTAATTTGATGCAGTTGATGTGCTGTAGAGTCAGATGATCGCGAGCGCCCGTGTTTGCTGCGCCATCTGCTGAGCATTCACCGCACCACACCTACATCTCAGAAACACATTGCTGATATATTTCATTTTACTAAAGTGTTTTGCTTATTGATGCAGTTATTACAAACTAAACCAAAACTACACAGATTTTTGTCCAAACAAAATTGAAAGCAAAATAAACGCACTGCAATACAAAAGTTTTGGGGTCAGGGTTTTTTTGTTGTTGAAAGAAATTAATCATTTTATTCAAGTACTACATTTATAATATTTCACAGATTTCTCTTTCAAATAAATTCTGATCTTTTGAACTTTATATTCAGCAATGAATCATGAAAATAAAAATGATTCATGGTTTCTACAAAAATGTTAAGCAGCACAACCGTTTTCAACATTGATAATAATCAGAAATGTTTCTTGAGCAGCAAATCAGCATATTAGAATGATTTCTGAAGATCATGTGACACTGAAGACTGGAGTAATGATGCTGAAAATTCAGCTTTACATCACAGGAATAAATTACATTTTACAAAATATTAACAAAAACAGTTTTGAAATTGTAATATTTCACATTACTATTTTTACTGTATTTTTGATCAAATAAATGCAGCCTTGATAAGCAGAAATACATACGTTGACAGGCAGGCAGGACAGCCTATTGTAATCCTCGGACCGGATCTGTAATTTCTTCCCATGCCAGGTGACGCTGGAGGAGTTCCTGAACTATTACAGTGGAGTCAGTGCTTCTGTCGACAGCGACGAGTATTTCATCACCATGATGAAGAACGCATGGAAGCTGTAGTCATCATCATCATCTCACGTGCATGCACTCGTCTGACGCGCGCAGAAATCAGTTTCGACGCATCCAATTTGTCATTAGATATAACACTGAGATGGTGCAGATTGTGCAATATTTACTCATAGAAATTCCGTGTCTAATTAAAAGTGTTTGATTTCTACATCTTGCTTTAATGTTGCACACACTGCTTGTTCCCAGAAGACGAAATGAAAGCATGTGTATCTTGACCGGAACGCCAGTAAACGGCGTGACAGCTGTCAAAACCCGGGCTTGTAAGACCTCAGCTTCAAAAGAGCTTTATTGAGCTCTCTGACAAACACTCTTCAATCACTTGATAAATCGCCCCAGCTGTTTAAGCTGTAAACTGGTGCATCGATTAATTTGATGCAGTTGATGTGCTGTAGAGTCAGATGATCGCGAGCGCCCGTGTTTGCTGCGCCATCTGCTGAGCATTCACCGCACCACACCTACATCTCAGAAACACATTGCTGATATATTTCATTTTACTAAAGTGTTTTGCTTATTGATGCAGTTATTACAAACTAAACCAAAACTACACAGATTTTTGTCCAAACAAAATTGAAAGCAAAATAAACGCACTGCAATACAAAAGTTTTGGGGTCAGGGTTTTTTTGTTGTTGAAAGAAATTAATCATTTTATTCAAGTACTACATTTATAATATTTCACAGATTTCTCTTTCAAATAAATTCTGATCTTTTGAACTTTATATTCAGCAATGAATCATGAAAATAAAAATGATTCATGGTTTCTACAAAAATGTTAAGCAGCACAACCGTTTTCAACATTGATAATAATCAGAAATGTTTCTTGAGCAGCAAATCAGCATATTAGAATGATTTCTGAAGATCATGTGACACTGAAGACTGGAGTAATGATGCTGAAAATTCAGCTTTACATCACAGGAATAAATTACATTTTACAAAATATTAACAAAAACAGTTTTGAAATTGTAATATTTCACATTACTATTTTTACTGTATTTTTGATCAAATAAATGCAGCTTTGGTGAGCAGAAGAGATTCTTTAAACAAACAAAAAAAAGATCATAATGACCCCAAACTTTTGAATAGGATTGTTTGCATATATGGATTATTCCTTATGAGAAACTGAAGTAGAGGCCCACGTTTTGACATAAGACAAATTTTTATTTCAAATGTTTCAACTTTTTTTTTACTTTGATATTACTATTTATTTTGTAAAGGAGTTTGGAGACATGGTGTGCTAGTAAGTGATAATATACGCATAGAAATTTACAGAACATTCAAGGGTACAAGTTTTTTTTTTTTGTCCTTTTTTTCTGTCTAAATGCACTCAAACTTCCAACACACTGAGAAAATCTTCATTTCAGACAAATCGTCTACAAATGACATGAACATGGATAAAAAGTTACAGTAAATCAATATTTAAAAAAAAAAGGCCAACACAATACAAACCCTCAGAATATGGAAAATAAAAACAAATACCGAGATGCTGCATTAAATGTTGCATTTTACATCAGATCAACTAAAAAAAGAAAAAGAAAAATATTAAACATTATTTGCCCCTAAACGAAGCTACACAACTCAATTTGATGTTTCAAGAGACGCTGGGGTGAAGATATTTTTCTCGTTCACAGGGGGCGAGATCTAGAAACAGATTCACTACAGCACGAGTCCGTGTGCCCGTTAAGTCCTTTATTTGTTAACACCAATGAGAAATCTAACTACCATCTTAACAGACTAGTAAGAGTGTCAGCTTGTCCTAGAAAGTGAATATATCCAGGAGATGCTTGGTGAAGCTGGCAGAAATCAGCTGGGAAAAATGGTACAACTATACGGAACACAGCAGAGGTCAGGTGACCGTGGAGCTTCCAGCCAGCCGATTGGCCGATAAGCGTGATGATGTGGCGAGTTCACAAAGCCGAGAGCCAATGAGGAGAGAGAGCGATAGAGAGAATGAGTAAAAAACGGTCCCATGGTAGAAACTGCAGTCTTGATGAGCCACGTCTTAAACGAAGAGAGAAACACCCTCACGCTCATCAATATGATGAGCGACCAAGTCCGAAGCCATACATGGAAAAGTCTCTGTTTTTTGGGGGTTTTTTTTGTCTTTTCCTTTTTTGTCGTCTTCTTAATTTGTTTATTTGCAGTCCAAGAGGAGAAAAAAACAACAACTAAAAACAAATGAAATGATAAAAAACAAAACTCAAGATTTTAAACTCAGATAAAAAACAGATTTACAATCAATTTTGGAGGGGAAAATTAACTACAGAAGTTTGGGTGAGAGAGACTCCGCTCCAGAGGTCCAGGGATCCGGTCCGAAGGGGCCGTGCCTGTCTGGGCTGTTCGCAGAGAAACCCCGGTGGGCGGCTGTGGGTCGGGCAGAGGGTCAGGATGCTATGTGCTCTCGGCGGCTGGGGTCTCGCTGTTCTCACAGTTACCTGCACGAAAACAAGTCAACGTTAACTCTGAAAATATGCAATAAAACATCAGGTCGATCAATGCAATCACAGCATGAAATGCATGATATATTGTTAACTTATCAGTTAGCAGTCCATATTAGGTATTTTTTAATTACTCAATATTTAGGATATTAATAATCGTCAAATTCACAGGTCTCATTTGATAACGTTACATAAAATCTAAATTACCTGGTTTTATTCAAGTCAAAAATATTGAACATCACTGAAACAACCTAAATACATTCATTTATACCAACAAAACTCATTTTTATAGGTTAAATCAGGTAGAAATAGCTCAAGGTAAAAATGGCTCCCACTTTTCAGTTAAGCCATGCAATGATTTAAGATTTATTAATCTTTGTTAATAAAAGTCCAATTGTTCATTAATTCAGTGCACGCTGATTTTTAAAATTGTATTAGAAAATGTTGAAAACTGCATTAAAGGTAGGGTAGGTGATTTCGGAGAGGCTAGCAACAGCAAGCAAGCTTTGAAAGCATAAGATCCCGCCCTCCCTGCATAATCACTCTGCAAAGCCACGTCTCCTCCTAAACACAACGTGCTACAATAACAACACCTTCCATTCTAGCCCTGATGACGTGTATCATGCCTGCGTGAACAGGATGCACGGAAGAATGCAAATACATACGTTGACAGGCAGGCAGGACAGCCTATCGTAATCCTCGGACCGAACAATCTGATTGGATTAGACAAACATTTTATGATCCTACGCCTTCCACAGACGATATAAATGCATTTAGAGCACTTAACTTAGTGATTGCTATTGGGATGTGAAGAGACTTTGAACTTTGAATTGAATCACTGACCCTGCCTTTAAGATTAATAAATGGTACATATGCTGTATATTGTTCATTGTTAGTTCAAGTTATCTATTATATTTGACTAATGATGACAAATGAAACCGTATTGTAATGACAAAGCAGATTTCAGATTTTACAATGAATAGCTGTCAGTATTTCACAATGCATTACTGTAATATTGAAATGACTCAATTCACAGCTTAAAATACTACTGATTTTAATTTTTAGCAGGGCTATTTTATTATCATTGGGATGCTATTATAGTGAATTACTTTGAATTAGTTTCTGTTTCCATTGTAAGTTTTCATGCAGTACATGTGTTAGTCATGTGTATACATACTTTTAAAAAATATATATATTTCAGTTATTTCACCTTTATTTTATTTATATAGCACTTTATACAATACAGATGTATACAATACAGTGTCAAAGCAGCTTTACAGTGTCAAACAGGAAAATTTCAGTACATCAAGTTTAGTACATCAAGAAAACAAGGAATGTTGCCTTGGCATCTAGCTGAAACAGAAAATCATGATGTTAATGTTCAGAATATGTTGATATCTTCATGCCTTGTAGTTGCATTTAGCAGATCAGAGCTGGACGATAATATAGTTTACATCTTGCAGTGATATAAACAATCATGCAGCCAAGATTTGCTATGTAGAACTGATTTATGCGAGTAAACTGTATAGTGAATTTATACTAAATTAATATATACAAAATGTTTATATATTTAATATCAGCCATTTATTTGTTACTGTCCTTGACAGAAATATTTATGGCTTATCACTATTGGATCATCTCTAATTTAGTCCATCTAAAACAATTAACTAAGTGTCTGATGCTTCGTATGTTCAGTTCAAACCCATGTAAAGTGAAGTGTCCGTACCGCTGGCGGTGGAGTTCCCCGTGCCGGTGCTGTTGTTGTTGTTAGTGGGTTCGTCATCGTCGCTGTCGTCCTCGTTTGACTGTGGGATCTCTGGTTCGGCCGGGAGGGGCGCGCTCTCGGCCTCCTGCTCCACACGACTCCGCAGGGCTAGAATCCGGTGATGCAACGCTGCGGCCAGCTGACCCGCATCTTTAGAGCTCGCCTGAGGACACACAACTTACACCATGATCCAGGGTTCCCAAAACTAACCTACATGATTTTTCCAATCACTGATGAATGGGTAAGGACTGAGGGAGTCTGCTAAATGATTAAATGTAAATGTAGATTCAATATTTTAAAACTAAGAATAACCAGACAATTTATATTCTCTTATAAATTCTTTTACAAATGTCTATGAAATTTCACTGATTTATCACTGTTTAAGACCTGCAAATAATGTGTCTTTATTTATTAGACACGACAAGAAAATAACCCTAACCCCAAATAAATAAATACAAATAATTAAAATTGTACAAGATTAAAAAGATTTAAATACAAAAAAAATGAATAATTTAATTTAAATATATAATTATAATTAAAACATACATTTAAAATTATTAATTTACTAACTAAATTTAACTAAAATAAATATTTCTAATTAAACAAATTAATTTTATATACATGTTAAATATAATAAAAATACATTTTTAACACACACACACACACACATATATATACACACACATAT